TGCTTCGAAGTGTATAAATATCGTGTAATCTTTGCAACAAACGATCCAGCTTGCACTCTATCTCTGGGTCCGTGCCTCCATCCTCACAGTCCAAACCACAAAGCTGGTTCTAGCTGGTTTCAGGGCCCAGAAAGCAGGAGACAGGTGACTGTTCCTTCCTCTTATCAGTAGCCTTGTCCTCCCATCCTGCTCTAGCACAGCATAATGAGCATGAAAAATGTTTGTTTATGGGCAAGCAATAACATTGTTAAGCAAGCAGCTTAGCCGGACCCCCTCCCGTACATTAAATCTTTGCATCGCTGTTCCCAGGCTGAAAGTCAAAACCACAGTGCTGCACCAGCTACTAAGAAGGAGAAAAAGTGACTGCTACTGCTGAACCCAGGACAGTGTATCAGCTCCAAAGTCTGAGACCCAGAGTTTCAGCCCCAAGAGTCTCAGCACCAGAGTCTGTGTCTTAGAGTATCATCCAGAGTCTCAGCTCCAAAACCGGAGCACCAGAGTCTCACCCCCACAGTCTCAGCCCCAGAGACTCAGCCCCACAGCCTCAGCAACAGTCTCAGCCACAGGGTCTGAGAGTCTCAGCTCCAAAACCTGAGCCCCAGAGTCTCAGCCACAGAGTCTAAATCACAGTCTCGGTCACAGAGGCTGAAATTCAAAGTCTGAGACCCAGAGTCAGAGCCACAGAGTGTGAGCCACAGTCTCAGCCCCAAAGTCTGAATCCCAGAGTTTTAGCTATAGAGTCTCAGCAACAGTATCAGCCTCAGAGTCTGAGAGTATCAGCTCCAAAGTCTGAGGCCCAGAGTCTCAGCCACCGTTTCAGCCAGTCTCAGCCTCTGAGTCTTACTTAGCCCCTGAGTCTGGCCCAAGTGGTGCAGCAGGAGCAAGGACACAGACAGGGATGAAGATGAGGTACGGGCAGGAGCAAGCAACAGCTCCGCGTCCCTGCCTGCTCCTGCCCCGTGCCTGCTTCGCACCGCTCCTATCCCTGCCCCGCAGGAGGTGGCCCTGGCTCAGTCCACTGCTGGCGAGGACTCAGGCTTGTACAAGGTGGTTGTCAACCAATGGTAAGTGTGAAGGAGGCGATGAAGGCCCCGCGTTCAGTTCATGCAGTTCCAGCCCCCTCCCCAGTGGCTGTTATGTTGTTGCTGTTTTGTCCCTGCTGTCATTTCAGTGATGCCAGATCCCAGTCAAGCTTTTCCAGTGAGGACACATCATTTTGGGACGAGACAATTTCCCTTGCCTTCAGAGAGCGCTCAGCCCCAGCCCCATGGTCCCTCCCCACGAATTAGGATGCTGCAGGCCCCTCACTGCTCATGACACCCGATGGCAAACATCATGGAGTTCAGCAAGACCAAATGCTCCAGCCTGGAGAAGAGAAGGCTCCAGAGAGACCTTAGAGCCGCTCCCAGCGCCTGAAGAGATCTGGAGAGGGACTTTATACAGGAGCCTCTAGTGATAGGATAAGGGGGAGTAGTTTAAACATGATTCATTCCTTTTAACCTGAGTTTAGATTTGACATTAGGTTTAGATTCAACTTTAGGTTTAGATCAGACACGAAGAAGAGTCGACATTAGGTTTAGATTGGACACAGGCTTCAGATTAGACAAGAAGAAGATTCAACATTAGGTTTAGATTAAACACAAAAAAGATTCGATATCAGATTTAATTAGACATTAGGTTCAGATTAGACATGAAGAAGATTCGACTTCAGGTTTACATCACACATGAAGACTCAGCTTTAGGTTTAGATTAGACATTAGGTTTAGATCCAATTTTAGGTTTAGAGACTAAAGATTTGACTTGAGGTTTAGATTAGACATTACTTTTACCTTAGACATTATAGACCAATACAACTGCTGTGTTGTTCATTCACCCTGTGTCCTGTGAGTTGATTGGACTTGTGCCTTTTGGAGTCTTGCCCTGTTCTTCAGAGCAAAACCAAGCCATGACTGGAGGCCCTATGAGCAAAGCACGGGGCTGTCAGTGAGATGCTGGGTGCACGGCTGCATCCCGGCTCAAATACAGCGTGTTCTGGTGCTGAATAGGGTCCGAGAGGTGCTCTGGCACCCTGCAGCTTTCTGAGGGTGTGCAAGGTTGGAGAAGGAGTTTACTCCCTTGACTTGGAAGCCTTTGCCATCCAAATGGAGAAGGAGATTGGCCAGCAGCTCCCCGCAGGGTTTGGGTGTGACATCGACACTGCCAAGTGTCCCTTGGAAGTGACACTGCTGTTTCCAAGCCAACACATCAGGCCTGAAGCTTTCCGCACACAGGTACACACATGTACACACATGTACACACGCGTACCCACACAGGGCAGCCCTCAGGCACACGCACACATGCATGCACACACGTGTGGCAGACGCACACAGACCGCACTGAACGCACATGTGCTGCACATGTAGAGGTGCTGGTCTGTAACAGCCCCAGGTGGGGGAGAGCACCAGCTCCAGTGGCAGGGATTGTCCCATGTCACAATGGGGACGCACAACAGCCCCAGCGGATGCAACTCTTGCATGGGCCAGGCCCCATTGTGAGGTGTGAGGTGCCCCAGGCTGTGTCTGCCCACAGGGCCAGCACAGCCCCGGATCCGCTGCTGGTCGCAGACGAGAGCTCCTGGTTTGGATCCCCAGCCTTGAGCCTCGTGTGGTACCAAAGGCGCTCAGGCCCTGTGTCGCCATGGCACCGCTGCTGCTGCTGCTGCTGCTGCTGGGCCTGGCCCGGCCCCTGAGGCCCTGCCCGGGGCCCTGCCGCTGCCGCGGGCGCCGCCTGGACTGCAGCAGCACTGCCCTGGCTCGCGTGCCCCTGGCCACCCACCAACAGCCCTTCTCCGTGCTGTGAGTGCCCTGCAGCTCCGGGCGCTGCCCCGGGACACCCCGAGAGCGGCTCCAGGGCCCCGCTGCCTGTGGAGGGCTGAGGGGCAGCGCCGAGGGGGCAGCTCCAGGCCGCAGCCCTGGGGCAGGGGAAGGGTTTGTGCTGGGGGTGACGCTGCCAATGGCTTCTCTGCAGGGATTTCACTGGGAACGCGCTCGCCCTCATCCCCCCGCAGGCCTGGCAGGGATACCCGTGGGCTGAGAAGCTGTGAGTATCCACCAGTGCCAGACATGGCACAGGGGTTCCGGGATCCCCATCCCTCCGCCGGGCTGTGGAGCCGAGGCTGTGCCGAGCACCGCACCAGTGCTTGCCACGTGCAGCCAAGGCCGAGCTGCTCAGCAAGGAGGGGTGTGAATCCCCAGAGCTGTTCCATGGCGAGCAGTGCCCTGGGCTGGGTACCTCCTGCCCCCCGGGGCCATCCCTGGGCCTGTGGAACCCGTGCTCGGGCTGCAGGCAGGGTCAGCAGGCTGGGAGCAAGCCCCTGCTCCTGCCATGAGTGTGATGAGCCGTGGCAGGACCCGCAGAGAGGCTGCGGTGGCACTGCTGCAGGGTTGTTCCCCTGACAGCTCCATTGCCCCTGAGAGCCGCGGGTGCCACTGCTCGTGTTCGTCCGTCTCTTGCAGAGTCCTCCAGCACAACAACCTGCTGGCAGTGAAGAGGCGCTCGCTGGAGGGGCTGCTCCTGCTGAGGCACCTGTAAGTATCCCCCTGCCCATGGTGGTGGGCACGGCCTCCCCCTGCCCTGGCCCTGCTGCCCGGCCCGCCCCAGGAAGGGCTTTATTCCTGCGGACGGTATTGCGGCTGCAGCCAGAGCAGAGCAGGGTCTTGGTGCAGGGGAGGGCTCCGCAGGGACGCGCTGCACTCCCATTGCCCCATGGCCAAGCAGGAGCAGGCGGCTGCTGCCCTGTCCCTGCACAGACCTGCACGAGGCCAAACCTTGTGCATTCGTCTCCTCTCAGCTCAGATGCCCCAGAGCTGCCTTGGAGGGAGCTCATGGTGCAGCTTCATTGCCCATGGAGAGGAGCAGGCACTTCCCATTCCCCCACAGGACGGGGCTGGGGACTCTGGCTGAGCAGGCCATGAAATGCTCCCCACAAAGGTTCCTCTCTCCTTGTTTGCTGCAGAACAAGCCCAGGCAGCGAGTTCAGGCTGGAACAAGGAACCTTTTGGTTTCTAGAGCCAGGCCAGAGGACTCCTGCGCACAGCAGAGCAGGGCTCTGCAGGGAGGTGACGTTTAGGAGCTGGGGGAAATAGCCCCATGTTGGTCACACAGGGCGTTACAGCCTGTCCCTGAGGCCTCACACAAGAGGTGCTGTTGGGGCGTGCATAAAGAACCTGCTCTGTTACCAGAGAGGAAAATCAGCCCTGAAATACCCCTGCTGGGTTCAGAGCTGGGAGAACCTCTCTGAGCTGCAGCCACCCCCGTCAGGAGTGTGACCTCCGGTTCCACACCACTGCAAGTCAGTGCCATAGAGAAACCCCACATGAAGTGAGGGCTATGGCACATCTGTGCTGCCAGTGTCAGAGCCCCTGAGAGGAACCAGGACAGCACAAATGTCACCAGCGTTTTGTGTTCTCCTGTTAACAGGGATTTATCTTACAATAAAATCCAGCTGATTGAGGCGTGTGCTTTTGAGAACCTTCCTTTCCTGGAGACCATGTGAGTTATGGGAGTTCCTTCCTGGTGTGGTTGGTAAAGCCTGTTTGCATTTAGAGCCTTCTGGTGATGGACAAAGCTCCTGTTATTCTTAGAACAAGGCCTCCAGTTTCTCCTGCTGAAGGAGCAGCCCAGCTCCGGAGCTCAGGGCATGGCTGGTGGCCACACCAGGATGGGGCCACGGCTTCTTCAAACACAGCAGGAATAGAAGCTGCCTCTTGAGTCTTGCTGTGTCCTGGAGCAGGCAGAGATGCAGCAGGCATGCACTTCGTCTCCTCTCCTGGACAGGTTAACAAGCAGCAGGAGAGAAAATGGCAGTTTCCTCCCAGTTCCACCATGGATGTGGCTGTTTCCTACAGATCAGTGCTGCTTCACTCCAGCTTCCTGTGGGTCAGACCCAATTCATTTCTGTGCTCTCCTGTTTCCCCAGAAGCCTGGAGGGAAACCTCATCACTGAGATCCAGAGCGACACGTTCCGGGCATGGCACGGGATGCAGTTCCTCCAGACACTGTGAGTGTTCCAAGGGCTAATGGGAGCTCAGAGCAGTGGCCCTTGTCACTGTGTTCTGCTCACCTCTTACCCCAAATAGGCAGCAGCATCAATGCTGAATGACAACTCTGTCAGGCCACGGCTTTGCCTGGCTGGGTGCAGGACCAGTTAGAACGCTCATGGACAGTGGGAATGTGAGAAATAGGGAAAGCCCTGTTGGAGGGATGCCACCAGCAGGTGCAAGCTGAGGAGGAAAGAAAGAGATGCTGTCTTTTCCAGAAGCAGCACTTCTGGGCTTTTGCTCTCTGGGCTGGAGATAGTCAGGACCTGATGTATGTTGTGAATCTGCCCATCAGCATCTGCCCCGGCCTGGAACCTTCACCCCAGCCCTTTCCTCACGCACGAAGCACTGAGCCCCTGCCACCGCTCTCATCCTGCACCCCCCGCTCACATGGGTGTTGGTTCATTTCAGGGTCCTGAGCCATAACCCCCTGTCTGTTATCGAGGACACGTGGTTCTTCAAGCTGCCTTCAGTCACTCACCTGTAAGTACGGACTCCTTGTCAACAGCTTTCCATGGATCTTTGTGCCTCTGGGTGCCCCGTGGCCAGGAAAGCAGAGATCCAGCAGCAAATCCCACCTTTCTCCCAGCCTTCTCCCGCTGGAGGCAGCGGCAGAGCCAGGCAAAGGCTGAGCAGTTCTGGTGTGTCCCAGCTGCAGAGCCAGCATGGAGCTGGGACACGGACTTGAACTTGTCTGCATCCGTCTCCCATGGGATCTGCAGGATCCCTTTTGGTTCAGACCCATGGGTGGGGGCAGGACACAGCAGGAAGGAGAGACGGTTTGCTGTCATTTCTCCTGGATTAGGTAGCAGCAGATGCCCCTGCGGCCAGCACCGCAAGCAGCAGGGACTGGGTTTGTTCCCGGAGCAGAGGCTGGCGCCGCCACCTCGAATGTGCTGTGTTTCCTGAAACCCTTGCAGGGACCTGGGTGCCACACGAGTGACTCGGCAGACGCTGCTCATGCTGCTCCTGAGAACACCCCGCTTGGAAACACTGTGAGTGTGCAGGGCTGGCTCCCACCTCCAGCAGGCTTCTGCGCGCCACCTGGGTTGGAGTCGCTGCCCTGGATCGTGATGCTGAGTGTTTGTGCACAACCTCTGTTCTTTAGCAAGCTGTCCATCGACACGGCCTGCTGCCTCTGCCAGCACAAGCACAGCACTGAGACCCCGTGCAGGACCCTCAGCTTCGACTGCATGAGCGTGTGCAGCAGCACTGCTCCCCGCTGCGGTAACTGGCCCACAGCCCTGCCCATGTGCCCCAGCTATAGTGAACCTTCTGAGCCTGTGTCTGGCAGAAAGCTTCTTGTCACTGATGTGCTCTTGGTGTGTTACAGCTCCCCTGGCAGAGACACCAGAGCTCCTGAAGGGAACGGTGCCACCCAGGAAAGGGAACAGCAGCTCTGTGTTGAATCTGCAGCCTAAGGAGCCTTCACTCAGGGAGCAGAGAACCGTCACACTCACAGTTCTCCTGAGCCTGAGCAGCCCCAATGCATCAGCACCTTCCTCTCAGCAGCTCTCGAGGCGGGAGGGCAACACCACCAAGGAGTTGACGCTGATGCTGCAGAGCATTCAGCACAGGGGCTGGAGCAGCTCTATTGACACCAGGAGGTTCTACTTTCTAGCAGAGGAGCTCGTGGCACAGCTGAAGAAGAAACTGCACAAGGCCATGAGCATCCTGACTGTGAAAAGCCCCAGCACAGCCCAGCCAGCGCAGAGGGACAAGGGGCAGGAGGTGGCAGTAGGGGAGGGAGGAAGAGCCATAAGCTGGCAGCAACAGGAGCCTGGCTTAGGCTTGACCCGGGCAGAGTCCATCTTATGGGAAGCAGTGCGGAGTATGAACCTCAGCGACATCCTCCCAGTCTCCAGCTACCAGAGAACACCCACCCCTGCTGCAGCACAGCCCCCTACACAATACCCAACAGAGGCCTCGCATCTCGCCTGGTCTGGCAAGAGTCAGGATCATTCTGACACCATGGAGCAGACCAACACGACTGATGGGATGGAGAATGAGGATAGTGCAGAAGATGAGGAGGAGGCACCATCCCCAACACAGGACTCTGCTGGGACAGATGAGGAGCAGAAGCAGCAGGACACTGATGGGACAGTGGGCAGCAGGGCTGCAGAAGAAGAGCCCGCAGCAGCAGAGGGTAGAGCAGAGCAGAGACTGAGCACTACCCAGTATTTCTACTATGCTCTGCTGCCTAAAAGTGGCCCCCCTGCTGCCAGCAGCATGCCAGAGGACACGGCTGCAGCAGAGCGCTCCTCTCTAGGCGGGAGACCACCCACCGCCCCTGCAAGCACCACCACACCCGGGCAGCACAAGGAGCAGGAACCCCTGACCTCAACGGCACAGGGCAGCTCCAGCGCCCCGGGCAGCACGGCCAAGCGAGGACCCCCCTTTGACACCCTGCTCAGCCGCCACCTCCACGCTCTGGTGCCAGATGGAGCCCTGCGCAGGTTCATGGCACAGGTGGCTCGAGCCCTGCGGGGGCACTGTGGCCTGCCCCAGCTCCAGCAGACCTGCGCCAAGATTGCCTTGAGGACGGGGCTGCTCCTGAAGCTGCTGAGTGAGAGGCAGCGTGACCCGGAGCCCTCTGACCTCCTTGAGCAGTGTGTGCGGGAGGAGGATGCCGGCACCTCTCGTCCCCATGCCCAAGTCCAGCCCAGGCGGATGCACAGTGAATCTGCAGAGACGGTAGGACAGAGCGGGGCATGGCTGCGTGTGTGTGTCTGGGCAGTGGGGTATGGAAGGGGCCTCCCTTTCCTCCTCCCCTCCCCTGTCCTCCCCTCCCCGCTCCTCTCCTCCCTGATGCACTCTCCTTTTCTCGCAGGAGGTGCCCCCTGATCACCTGCTGCCGCTGGTGCTGACGCTCTCGCTGTTCACTCTGGTGATCATCATCACATCTGTTGTTCCCCCGGTGCAGTGCTCTTTCAAGGTGAGCCAAGGACTCGTTTGGCAGAGCGCTGCCAGCCAAACCCTGGGGCTGGAGAGCACAGGGGCAGGGGGGATGCTCCCACAGTGCTCATGGGGCTCGGGTGCTGCTGTGGATGCCTGTGGATGTGCTGGCGAGCACAAGAGATGTTTTCCCAGGCTTGGAGCTCATTGTGGCACCCCACCCTGGAGCTTGGAGGTGTTCAGAGCTGCTGGGAGCAGCTTGTCCTGGCTCCTGCCAGGGTCTGTCCCCAGCTCTGCTGTGCATCTTCCCAGTAGCTCCTTCCTTCAGGGGGGCTGCAGCTCCCTCTCATCACAGCCTCTGCCATCAGCCCTTACCAGGCTCTAGCCTGCAATCCCTCGCCCCAGGCCTCCCCTCCCCAGCTCCTGTCCTGGCCCTGCTCTGTTGCAGCACCCGTCGCTTCCAGCCATGCAGCAATGCCCCTGCTCCCTGCCCTGAGCCCATACCCAGCCTTTCTGCATGGTACTGTGGCTCCGGTGGGTCGGGGCTGTGCCCGGGCACAGGGCAGGGGCCCGATCGTTGCTGCGCAGTTTGAATCTCCCTTTGGGGCCCTTCTCCTCCGAAGAGACAAATGAGCTTTCCTTTCTTTAGAAGGCATGGTGCGTGTTGAAGGGGCGGGGGGGAGCCTGCAGAGCTCTGTGCAGAGGAGAAAGGTAGAAATTAACAAGGCTGAGGAGAACTCTGGGTCATTCCAGAGGCAGGGAGCAGTGGGGAGCTGGACAGGGAGGCATGGGGGCTCTTCTTAAAGGCGTGGCTGCTGGCACAGCCTTGCACGTGTGTAGAAGGCACTGGGCTGGAGGAAGAACCTTCTGGCTCCCCCATGCTGCAGAATTCCATGTGGAAACCTCCATGTTCTGAGTCGCTGTCTCTCTGTCACCAGGTCTCTGCCAAGGAAGATGATGAGGATTTCCAAGGCAGCAGGAGACGGTGCCTGAAGCGGTAATTCCTGCCCTGCCCTGCCCCAGCAGGCTCTGCCCCAGCAGCACCCAGCCCTGCCCAGAGCCCCCCCAACTCCTCCAGCACTGGAGGAGTTCATCCTTTGCTTCTCATCCTTCTGCTCCTGCCTGTTCCCAGGTGCTTTCAGAAGCTGCGGCCCAGGTGCTGGAGCAGGAGCAAAGACACAGACAGGGACGAGGAGGAGGTAAGGGCAGGAGCAGGCGCCAGCTCTGTCCCTCTATGCGGTCCCTGCCCCATGCCTGCTTCTCACCTCTCTAATCCCTGCCCCGCAGAAGGTGCCCCTGACTCAGCTCGATGCTCAGGAGTAGGCAGAGTTGGGCAAGAGGATCGTTGACATAAGGTAAATGTGATGGTGGCAATGCTGGTGCCGAGTTCAGCTCTTGTTCCATGTAGGAACTGCTGAGGGTTTCCTTGATGTTGCTTCCTTGGCTATATCCTTAGATGCTCTTTCCTTGCTGTTATTTTCTTGGCTGTTATTTCCCAGCTCTTATTTCTTGATGTTCATAGAAGCATAGTCTCACCGAGTGGTTTGGGTTGGGAGGGAGCTTAATGCTCACTCAGTTCCAACTCCCACCCCACTGACTTTTGTGACATTGCTGTTATGTCCTTGCTGTCACTTCAGCAGTTCCAGAACCTCAGCAGTCATTCCCAGTGCTGTGTCATCAGAGGAAAATTGCGTTTTGCTTGTCCCAGAAGCGCCCCGAGCCCCAGCGTGAGGGTCCTTACCCATGGAGCAGGACAGAAGTTCTTTGAAGTCACCAATAAAAGTGTTGGGTTGTTCGTTCTCCCCGTGTCCTGTGAATTGATGGACGCACGCATGCGTGTGTTTGAGCCTCTGTGTGTGCTCACAGGTGCTGTAGCACTGGGAGCGGTTGATCTGCTGCCCAGTGTGTGTGGTTGCACACGTATGTGCCTGCATGTGAGAAAACACGTGCAGCACGTGTGTGCGTGCGTGGGGGAGCGTGGCTGCTCGGGTCCCTTCGGGCAGCTGTCCCCTCTTTGGGTGACTTCGGCTCCGCTCGGGTCCCTTCGTCTCTGCTCCCTTCAGGTGGCATCGGCTTCACTCGTCTCCCTTCGGCTCCACTCAGCTCCCTTCGGTCAGCTCTGTCCCCTCTGGGAGGCTTCGGCTCTGCTCGGCTCCCTTCAGTCAGCTCTGTCCCCTCTGGGAGGCTTCAGCTCTGCTCGGCTCCCTTCAGTCAGCTCTGTCCCCTCTGGGAGGCTTCGGCTCAGCTCAGCTCCCTTAGGGCAAAAGCGGGCATTCCCTCACTTTTGCCTTACAAATGTGCTAAACACATGAATGTACTGGCTTTCGCAAATCAGAGGTGTTGCTATGTGGATATAACTGTATGAGCTCACAAAGCTCACTAAAGACACAAGGTTAGTTGAAAATGGGCAGAACTCTTGAGCAAAACGGAGTCGCATAGCAAAAGAATTTGTAAAGGTAAAACAGAAGGCGGGATGTGGGGCAGGGCCGGCTTGATAAAGAAATGCTAGTGGCTGGAAAACATAGGGTTAAAGTACTTTTAGCCTAACTTAGGTCAAAGATAACAGTGTTCAAGTCTGTGGCCCCACTAAAGGTGATTAAATTGTTTCACACCATCCTTCTGAAGTACCTTTAGCTTAACTTAGATCTGATAAGCAGAGAGACTCCACAACTCGTTACAGTTGTAAGATAGGTATGCTTTATTCAGCTGAGGCACATGGGGGATAGCTCCTCCAAAGGCATGCCCGCCGCAACCTCACCTCTCCCCTCATTATTCTCTACAATTATACATATTCATCAGGTTACACAACACGCCTATACATATTGCGGCGTCTGCTCCTGGCCGTCCTGCAGCACAGTGAGCAGAGCAGGAAATGTTTGGCCTCTGCTAACACAGCTGAAGAGGCAGGACAGAAAACTGCGGCCAGGCCTCTTGTGCAGACTGTGAGGTCCGCAACGATGCCACCAGCGCTGCTCTTGCTCCTTGCTTTTCCACCTTAAATTCCCAGGCACAGAGTCTCAGCCCCAGTCTCATCTCAGAGTATGAGCCCTGCAGTCTTAGCCACAGAGCCTGCACCACAGAGTCTCAGCTACAGTCTCAGCCCCAAAGTCTGAATCCCAGAGTCTTGGTCATAGTCGCAGCAACAGTCTCAGCCCCAGACTCTCAGCGCCAGTATCTTAGCCCCCCAGTCTCAGCCCCCCAGTCTCAGTCACAGAGTCAGAGTCTGACAGTATCAGCTCCAAAGTCTGAGGCCCACAGTCTTAGCAATAGCATCTCATCAACAGTCTCATCCCCAGAGTCTCAGGCCCAGACTGTCAGCCAGTCTCAGCCCCAGAGTCTGCTCTCTCCACACCAAACACCCCCATTGGCAGACTGGTGATGTCTCAATTTCTCTGCCTCCCCAACACCCCCCTTTCTCTCTCTCTCTCTCTTCTCTGAAAGTTGCTAAGTAACATGGGGCCCACCTCGACTTCTCCTGAAGCCACAGAGCTCAGGTGGAGTCTAACTGTGAGAAGGTGAACATTTGCAGAATATTTGTTCCGTTAAAGCTGGTGTTTCTGTAGGGACCTCGGGTGTTATCTCAGCTGAATGCACACAGAAGGGCTTTGGAGGGAGACTGAGATGAGCTCTTAGGTACAAGTTCTTCCCTGGGACGGTGCTGAGGCGCTGGCACAGGGTGCCCAGAGAAGCTGTGGCTGCCCCATCCCTGGCAGTGTTCAAGTCCAGGTTGGACACAGGGGCTTGGAGCAAGCTGCTCTAGAGGAAGGAGTCCCTGCCCATGGCAGAGGGTAGCAACAGGAGAAGCTTTAAGGTCCCTTCCATCCCTGGTCTCTTTCACAGGAAGGGACAGAGCGTTTACCACTTCTTTGGGCAACCTGTTGCAGTGCTTCTACCTTTCAAAGCAGAATCTGCTGCTGCTATCCACTGCCACTGTTCCTTGGTTGCACTGGCAGTTTTCCTGTTCGCTGGGGAGGGAATGGGTTGTTCCTCTGTTCTGGTGCTTCTGGCCATACAGCAAGGAGGCTCCTGGGCTCTGCGATGTCCACATGCTATGGGGTGAAGCATCCTCTCTGGAGCTGCTCGCCTCTGCCAGGAAGCTTCTCCTACAGAGGCTGCCCTCTGCCCCTTCCCAGCCACCTCGACCTGAGCCAGCTCCTCTGGACTGGCCTTTTGAACCGGTTCCACTTCTCCTCCCAGTGTGAATCCAGCACTTCTTAACCCCTCAAGCACATCCCATCCATAGCAGCTCCCAGGAGTCCCACTCTCTGCCCTTACTTTAGGAGCTGTCAGCACATCT